GGGCTTTTCAACAGTTCCTCGGGCCAAGTACCCAGGTGCCAGCTTGCCAGCCAGTAGAATACCAGCAGGAGACTATGTTGGAGGCAATGGCCCACGTCGGCTGTTGTTGAGCGAGTTGGTCATCTAAAGATTGACCGGAACCAGCTAGGCTTGATTACCTGATGTTCCGTAAGATTACTACCATATCGGTCGTGATTATCTGCGTGGACAATTGGACTAACAGGACTTACATGACCTCTCTCGGCCAAGCACCGGATTACTTGCTGGTACAGTGGATTACTAAGATGATTCAAAGCAAAACGCTTACCAAACCCTACCTGCCTATGTATCATTTGCTACGTAATTATTCGAATGGCCTGGAAGCATAGTGGCAGAGCACTAGATGTGACGGCAAAGTCCACCAACTTGGCAAGAGTAGCAAACAAAAATAGCGCAGTAGACTCGCTAATGGTAGAGCGACTTTGGCGGGTTTTGGCCGAATTTTAGTGGACTGTGTGGGCTTCAACCAGTGCTACAGTGGAAAACTTCAGTGGACAACTCCAATAGCTTCCAGTGGTTCCGGACCCCTGTGGGAACAGTGGGCCCTCGCTCGGTCACAAACGCATGCCTCGGTGCTGCTGCTGGTTGGTACACAGGAAAATTGCCTGTATAATTTTTTCAGAAGTAAAAATAAAAATTCAAACAGCCAGCGATAGGTGGACAATGATTTCAGTTTGTTCGTATCGTGGAGAAGAGAATGTAATAGTACATTAGCGCCAACAAGGTTTGGTACACGGCAGATGCCGCCGCCCAAGCACAACCGCCAAACCACGTTGCTGGCAACAAGTTGGCAAATGGGTCTCACTACCTCCCCCCGTGTCTTGGTCCTTGAAGCGCATAGAAATAGCACAGCGTTAACGAAAATGTACACGGCATTCGAGTCAATTGTTAGTAGCTTCATGAGATACAAGCTTTGCTCTACTGCCCTTCTATCGTGCCCGTGTCGTGTCCTCGCATGCTAGGGTTCGCGTTGCGCTTCTAGGCTTTGCGCCGCACGGCTTTGCTCGCGACGCGTCGACGCTCAGACGGTTTCGAACCCCAGGTTCTGGTCTGACACAAAGCCTTTAAACTCTTATTTTCGCTCGGACGATTCTGGTCGCGCCTCGGCCGCCCGCGATCCCGCCCCTTGGTTCCCGGCCCGTGGTGGTTGAATCTTGATACGCTGGGGGAGGAGGGGTCTTCCCGGCTAGGCTCTCGCCGTCCGTGTGTCTGTAAGAGCTGCATACTGAGTGCAGAGACCGTCTACGGGCCAAACTCAAGAATGCTGTGCCACGACAGACGAGGCTGGCTGCTTGGACAAACGGTGCTAGGGGTACTGGCTTGCCTATCAATTGAGTTTTCATGTGCATGGCAGCTTTCCGCCATAATGTCCCTTCCCGGGCTCTAAGAGTCATCCAGCCTTTCCATATTGAAATCTATGATTTCTCATTGCAGTGATTTTTTCTTATTTTTTCTTTATCCTATTAGACTCTTTGTCTTGAAGATAGCCATTGCTAGCTGACGTGTACTCTGTCTCGTCTGTCAACGTCGGTATGCTTCGCTGGCAGACGCCGATTCCGACCCCTAGCACAGCGTCAAGCCTGCATATATTGTCCTGCTGTACGCAGTCATTGTGAAGAAGTATTTACAAAGCATTCGCAAACCATCAAGCTAACCAAAAAGAGAGAAAGAGGGAAGAAAACAAGAAAATTTATTAAAAAATGCAAGTTCAAAATCGACACCGCTTTTCCCCGTGTTCCCTCTTCACCTTTGTTTGACGTGATGTTGGCTGCCTAACCTTAAAACAAGGGAGAGCGGTGGGCGGCAAGGGCAGGACTTGAGACCCCCAACCACGGTCCCGGCCCCCCCAGCCTCGCATGCAGCAGCTTGGCGAGCGGTATGTGTGGCTGTTGATTGATATCATTCTCAGTCTTGAGGGGTCCCGGCGTCCGTCACGGCCACACGCGGCATCGTTGGAGAGACGACGTGTATGACTTGGCCCCCAGTCGTTCCCGCCATGCACACCGTATCGAGGAGGAGGGCAAAGACGGCGCTGGATATGAAGCGGTTGGGTACAGACATGTGCATGGACGGGATGTCGCCGCCCTTCCCACCCTCCAGTAACGACAAGAGAGATAGAAAGAGAGAGAGATCTAATCACGGCAGTGGACGAGCCGGCGTCATAGTTAGATAGTTTGTCTCTGATGCGGCCGGCCTCTTCTAATTGCCGTTCTTGGGGGTTGCGCTTGGTGATGTAAGGTGTGCAGAAGAGAATGGCGCGGCATTGTGACAAGTCTACTCTTTTGTCCTTTATTTCTGAGCAGAAGCGAGAGAAAGCGCGCATATCTGCCTAGCGAAGATGGGAGCGTCAACGGCTTTACTCTCCCTTCTCCGGTGCTTTCTTTGGGCAGACACAATGTGAAGGTGACCTGCGCCAGCTTTGAACCCTGCTTCTTGAGCCTTATGCCTTATCACCTATCAAAAGTGCAGAATAAAAAGAAAAAAGGTTGCGCCTGGGTAGCAGCCGGAAGTACGATGCAGTGAACCCGGGGCCGTAGGCCGTCTCTTCTTCCTAATTAGCGCTTACAAGGACGAGAACCCTTGCTCTACCTTCTTCTCCCTCCTTCTCTCTTGGGCCGTGGTAAGAAGGGGGACAAGTCATGATGCCGGACCGGGGGAGGAGAGCCGGCCGGCTGGGTCGCCTGGAGGATTATTAGCAGCAAGTGGTTGTCGAAAAGGGCGACGCAGGGGTCAGTGTGGCTTGGAGAGAGCAAGGGAGCTTTGCTTTTTTGGGCCATTCTGTCAAAGCTTCTACTATCATTACGCCTAGTCATGGTTTATCATCACCGCCACGCTTTGAGCTTGGCCTCCGACTTCAACGTAATCTTCATGGCGTTGCCAACATGCAGTCCACCTGTGCTAGTTTTTCACCCAGTGTTTCGTTCGTCTTACGTTTCTTCAAATCATTCATTTATAAAATTCGATGCGGTTCCATCATGTTTCGCCGGTGAGCACACAGACGCGGTGCTGTGCTGGGAGGGGCGGCCTCTGGCCGCACACGGGAGTTGCTGCGGACTGCGCAGGTACAACGTACCAATGTCGCTTCGCCATGTATGCGGGCTGAGGCGAGAGCCCAACTTGTGCGATGCAGCAGGGGACGGGAGCGGTGCGGCAGATATGATAGTTACCCGAGGAGCTATAACGGGATTCTCGAACTGCTCGGTCTTCTCGCTGTGCAGTTGTGTGTGCTGCTGCTGCTGCAGCCAGCGTTGAGAGGACGGAGAGCCATGCGTCATCCCACGCTGTCCCTCATCATCAGTCCATCCATCCATCCATACATGCAGAGACACATCCAACGGGCCCAGGATCCAAGACAATCGGGGTCATGAGTCTGCAGACAATCAATGCTGGCATGTGTTGTAGAAGGAGGAACTGGTTATAAAATGGGAATTGTTGCCCGCCCTATCATGGAGCCTTTTTTGAAAGAGCTGGCATCGCTTATTTCTTGCCTCGCCTTGCAAACAGCCTTTGTCTGGTTGGGCTTGCCATCTGTCAAGAGCTTATTGGCACATGCTCGTACGCCGACTTTGTTTCTTCCCATTTATTTGGTCTTGTTATTTTCTCATTATTGGCTCTCCAATTCGACCCCTGCGGCCACGACTTGCACAAGGCCCGACGTGGTTACAGGGCTAAACATTGCCAACAACCGAAACAGCCCAACGTGACGAGGCTAGCCCTCTTCAGGACGGGAGCAGCGACCACCAACAAGACAGCAGAGGATCAAAATCAAAATCAAAAGAAGAAGAAAATATTCTACCGAGCCCGAGACCACGGGGCAGCCTCAAACTCTCAGAGGCAGCTTCCCGACGCTGTTTGCCTCGTTTAGGTCAACGAGCCATTGTTTGTTTTCTGGGCCGCTTACTCGTCTGCCAACTGGACAGACTTGCTTAGGCTGACCTCGCTTGGAGTACCTCCTTTGTGCAGCGCTTTGGCTGGGACGAGTCGGTACCTAGGTACCTTCCCTTTGCTTTCTTGCCGGGCGACGGACCAGGGCTCTCACAGCGCTGGAACCTGCCACCAGCCCGGAACGTCCGCCAGCACAGGCCCAGTTCTGCACTGAACCGTGCCGCTACCTACCAAAGTACCCAACTTTGGAGTCCGGCGGTCCGTCTGGGTCCCCTTGAAAAGCTTAGTGTAATCCGTACTTTGTTCATCAATACCCTTCTGCTTTTCTCTGCCTCGATCGCCTTTTCCCAGAGAGCAGTGTTCATTTTTTTTTGCCTTGGTGCTACTTGCTGGCCACCAGCCTTTAGGTACCCAAGTACCGTCCTACCACCGAAACTGCAGTGCGCGCTCGGCGGGCCCCACCTCTTTCTGCGACCCCACCGATTTTTGTTTATTTTTTTATTTTTATTGATTTTTGGGTTCCCTTGATTCCTCTTTTTCTCACCTTGTCCCTCCAAAGTCACTCCCCCACTTCTCGCAGCGCCCTGTTCACCCATCTTTGCCAGCCCCGCTCAACGTACTCCTCTCCGCTGCTACCTGGCGGTACAATCTCCTCTACTAACCCATCGTCTCCTACACGTTGGAGGTGGAACCTTCCCGCCTCGCCGCAATCCACAAGCCTTTTGGCCTTTGTCTTGTCCTGTCAACCTCTTTGCCTTTTTACCTCTTGGATTCCTCTTCTGTTCTTCTTCTCCAACTTTCTGTGACCTCTTCTGGCCTCGCCCCGGAAAAAAAAACCTACACACTCTCTCTTTCACGCTCCGCTTAGCCTTGCCTCGCCTCGCCTCGCCTACACATACACATCTACAGCGACTCATCACCTCTTCACTCTCGCAACTGCTCTGCCTGCTTTTGCCTGGACTTCTCTTTTCCTTTGCTCGACGTCGTCTTTTCTACATGCATATCATCGAAACGTTTTCACCTTGACTACAAAAAGCCGTTGCAATCCGTTCCAGGCCGTGTCCCTCGCAGCACCAATGCTGGGAGGCATGTCGCCTAAACTGAAGCCGCTCCTTCTGCCTCAGTTGGTCGAGGAGCGCAAACGATCCGATTCCGCTTCTCAGTTTTCGAGTCCTGATTTCAACGTAATTGGTACTTGGCCCTACGTCGTTGCCGCCCCCGATTCTTCTTGCTCCGACATTACTTCTCCCATCACGCCAACCTTCTCAACTCGTGGGCATGTCCGCATGTCGAGTTCCTCGTCCTCGCTCGACCTGCCCCCGCCACCCCAGGATGGCTACGTCTCCCCGTCGCTGCTGTCCAGCACCTTGACCAAGGCTTCCATGCGCCAGCTGCCCGATGTTGAGGAGGAGCCTTTGGAAAAGGAATCATACCAACACATCGACGACGACCTCTCTGACGATGAGGATAGCTTTGGACTGTATAACTATCTACGTGAGTTGGGTTGCGCACGCGCGGGCAGAACTATCACAGCTAACAAGCAGGTTGCAGGCAACGATGCTTGCGCTCGCGGTAACAGCTCCGAGGACCTCTTCGATGCCGGCCTCGTCGGCGATTTCGATATTGACGATTACGACGCTGGCTTCCTCAGTGACGGCGACATCAACGCTAGCGCCTCCTACGGAAAGAAGAAACGTTCTGGTATTGAGTTATCTGGACTCACGGCCCGCCTCGAATCTCGCTTCCCTAACATTACACGATGGAGGTCTGGTCATCGCTCACGTATGGCAAGTGCTCCTCCAATGGAGTACAACCTTGACAATGTCTTATCTCGTGCTCCCTCGAGTCGCTCATCCTCCATCTCCGCCCGTGCCCGTCAGAACACAGAGGCAAGCCACGAGCATTCCATCCCTCCCACCCCCACACTGCCATTTGGTAGCACCGAAAGTGTCAATGTCCCGTCCCTGACACCCGTCTTGACCGACGACGACAAAATCGACATTCAGAGGGATCGTGCCCTGGCCACTACGCCACTTCTGCCTCCGCTCATGACTGGCCCTCTCGGCAAGCCACCGGCCGAGGGTCCGCTCCAATCGCCCAGTGTCGAGTCGGCGCCCACGCCGCCACGGCTCTCTTTCGCTGCTCAGTCACCGCCACTCACGTCCGCATCATCCTTTGCGCGGCCGTCACTGAGCTCTCGTCCATCAGTTCAATCGCTTCGCAACATCTCGAGCAGCACCGAGATGCCGTTCCCGGTGCCCGCTCCGCTGCCGTCGATTCTGCAAGAGTACGATGAATGGTCTGATCGCCTTGGCCATGCCAACTTTACCATCTCCCCTGCTCCCTACGATCCTCCAGCTGTCAACCCTGAGACTATTGCCAAGTTTCAAAGCGACTGGGATACGGCGCGCTGCAACTACACCAAGCACTTGGTGCGCACTGGCGAAAATTATGGCCAGACGAGCAAGATTTACGGCCTCACTGAAGCCAAGTGGGCCGAGACGGAGCGTCGCTGGAGAAGCATCTACCAAGATGTTATCAAGCAGACACCTTCAGCTGTGCCCATGCAAAAGACCAACTCTCGCAGCCGCAGTCGCGGGCGCGTTCGGGGCCGTTCTCTTAGCGCCCACCCTAGTTCTATGCAACACAGTCCTCACGGTGACGCTTTTGCTGGCATGGAATGGAAGCGTCTCGAAGATAGCTTGCCCCGCGCTGTGCCTCAGATGATCGAGGCACTCGACGCTGCTCCAGGCAAGTTTCCCAGCCGCGGCGACGAAGACATTGTCGGTCCCATGCACCGCGAAACTTCCATGGCTGGCGCGTACGAAGACACTCGCTCGCGCTTCTGGAAGAGCCTTGGAGCCAAAGTTGGCATTCATCGATGATTATTTTACTGCATAATACAGCGAGCGAATTTGATATTTTCACTTGCATATTGCATCATTACCCGACCCTGACATTATCATGTCGGCGACTTACGATCCTTACACATTTACGGTTCACGAATTACTCATCAACCATTTATCATTTGTTTTGTTTTACGTCGGGCTGCCTACGGACACCCCTCGAGATACCCCGACTCTAGTCACTCCTTCAACCTTAGTCGGCCGTTGCTTATTATACCTCGTCAAAGGTAGTAGGCAATGGGTCACGACTTTCATTCGACATTTCTTTTGCGCTTGGGATTTTACTAGACTGTATGTGAATGGTATCCTATATGGAAGGCGTTACATAGACCGGACGGAACTTTGCTGCTCAGTGCAAGGAAGAGCCAGAGAGAAAAACTGTTTTTGTGTTTTCATATTTTTTCTAAAAAAAAACCTGGGGATCGTGGTAATGGTCCGAAGACATTGTTATCATGACTTGGAATGGAGCCGAGGAAGATTGAGCTCGAAATCTGGCTGAAACTGGCAGCGAGCAGCGAACAAGCAGATACAGACAGCATGTTGCAAGTGGTGTTGCAAGGCTTTCCGCTATCAATACAAAACAGTAAAATTGTAAACAAGGTCGCTGTGATGTACCATCAGTGCAAATGTGATAGTTGGATGTTGGTTCTGGCCACGTAATATGCCTGGTTTGGTTTACGGTGTAACTGGCGAGCTAGGCCAAGATGGGGATTGCTTCAATGGTGGCGTCCTCTCGCGCATTCCAATGAATAGCCTCCTTATTGTTCTCAACACATTGTTTGCTACGCCACGTGTGAGCAAGAAGGTTAGCTAACAAACTTTGGGAATAGAAGGCCATGTTGACTCGTTGGTGCCGCAGCCTTGCCTTTTCAGTTCTAGGGTACATTCCAGAGGCCGAGGAGCTCGGCAGATGACGCCATGCGATGGCCGAAGTCGTTATCCGTGCGCTGAGGAGACTGTATTTAATTTTCGCTACAGATATTTATTTTTTAAACAAGCAAAAAATTTGTGCAGCGGTGATGGCAAGGCAAAATGTGATGAGTACAAGACTGAGATGGCCAAATATGGGTACTTGATGGTGGCTAAGGAACCCAGATTCGCTGCAGCAAATCCCCAACTACCCCAGTCAATAAACCTGGCAATCTACAAATAAAGGTAGATGTAACCCCCGCGTCTCCGCCGAGGCTCTGTGCGTCTGCCATCTCAACTCTTCTAGTCGCCTGCCAAGCTACCAGTGGCAGCCTACCACCCACCCACTACAACCATTCACCACTCGACACACTCACGACTTGTCCACGTCAGCTCGTAATAAATATGCAGGCTTTCTGGAAGGGGGGGGGGGATATGTTTCGAGACATGGGTTGAAAAAGAATACGACCGCGAGCTGAAAATGCAGGCAGATGAGGGCTGAAAAGGCACCCGACTCGAGGCATACCAACTGGTGGTATGAAAGGCTGACCAGCTGGCTTGATTCTTCACGTAAATAGAAACGCGCCGCTCAAAGGTGACGCCTGATTGGGGGAGGGGAACAGCGAGCAAGTACCGAGCTGGGCATCTCCACTAGAGCCTGCTTTTATTTTTATTTGACTTGTACGACATGCAAGCATGGCCTTTTCTTTTTGTGTCTACACTTTTTTGGAACAAAGAAGGCATCAACTTTCTCGTGTTACGCTCAACAGTGACTTCTGCCTGTCAGTACAGCTGACGATAGGCAACGCTCCTGCCCCAATTTTATCACGTCAAAATTTAAATCTTGTAATAGATAAGCAGTACATTTCTAGAAATGTAAGTGTGTAGAAGGTGTGAATCGATTCTTTATTAAAACGGCACCTTTTTCCTATATACACGTTCTTTAATCGTGGAAAATTTTGGAGGCTATAATTCGCTTTAGACTGCTAGGGCACATAATTCTGGTTTGCGCTGGTGACGAGAAGGCTGTATTTGTATTTGTGTAAATAAACAACGCCAGGGAGATCTAATTAGGGTGGGTGTAGATCAACCGAAGTTCTGGCACAGACCTCATTTGAAGGTATCACAACTCGGATGACGCTTGTCAAATCCCCAGATGATTTGTAGCGACTGTTGATACCGGGCCCCAGCTGAAACAAAACACGACGTCATCGCAAGTAGCATCCCTGCTAGGCCTCGTCCCAACTTTTGATTAGCAAACAGCAGGCAGTGCATTTCATCACCACCTGCCTTTCCTACATGAGAGGGCTTTTTCTCCGATGCTAGACTAACAAAAGTTTTCGATATGGTTGACTATAGACTTTTTCTTGAAAATATCATTCTGCAGAATAAGTACACTTCTTTCGGCGTCAACAATGTGTCGACAGCGCTGTTTTTGTGCCACCTCTCCGACTCACGCGTCCGAGGCGGATCGGCAGAACGTGGCTTTAAATCTTTTTTCACCGCTTCTGACGCTCTGCTACGTTGTTCACGGCGGACATGAAGGAGAAGTCCGAGGAAATATTGTAGCCAACGCCATTATGGGTGGATAGGGGGGACAGTCTAACTGTAGCTATGCAAATTGTGTTCAGGGACCGGCATTGGGTTGGTGAATAATTCATTCGCTGGTGAAACCGGGTTAGTTCTGTATATAGAGTTTAATTATCAGTACTGATGACATGGTAATATATCAGCCCTACCAGTCGCCGGGCAGTCGACTGCTATGCAACAGGTAAAGTAGGCGACCGAGCGAGCGGCAATGTAACCCGCCACTCAATTCTTCATCACGGCTCAAGACAAAGTACAAGTGAGCGATTAAGATATTAGCAACCTGGCGGTAAATTATATCGAGATAACCTTGGGCTTTCGATCCAACCAATGCCGAGCTAGGAGGGCGTCAGCGGAACAGATGGTTATATATTATGAGTAGAAACGAAGCTAGGGACATCGGAAACCAGAAAGTGCACTCAAAAGCAAAGATATGAAAAACGAAGGCGTATATTAGAGACTCAGCAGGGTATTTACTCCGCTCGTTTAGCCGACGACGCTTTATAGGTAGGTCTGACAACGGCCTCGAAAACAACAAGCCAACCTCTTGCAAGAAGGAAACAAAAAAAAAGAAAAGAAAGAAAAACAAGGATGTCTTATACAGCATCTTGTTGCTTGTCAGCCCTGACGGTATTTCCGCCCGCTACAGCCCGACCCTTGCCCGGGCGACGACGTCTTTGTTCCCGGGGTCCGTGAAACGATCTTACCGCTTGGTCAAAGGGTTAAGCTTTGTTGTGTGTCTCCGAGGAGAGCCGTTGCTCGATTCGCGATTGCAAGTTTCTCGAGGCCTGTTGGTCCGTTGCGAGGTCTTTTACGAGCTATTCAAGTTGAAGTATTTTAGAGCATGTGTGCCACGGCGCATGATGCGAATAGAGCATAATGAGCCAAAAAAAAAAAAAAAAGGAAAAAGGAAAAGCAGTCAGAACCTGTAGTGTATGCTTGATGCTGATCTTTTCAAATTGAAGGCTCTCTATGACAGGGTTGAGCCTTGGTAGACGGTTCAACCCTAGTTTTATCAAAAGGACTGCAAGCAAGGGCTCAAGGGCCATCTTGGAGAATCTACCTGTGATTTGCAAACATTGACAGAATAAAAGCTTGTTCAGGGGGGGTCTGACATTCAAGTATAAGAACAGCATCTGCACCTTTCACTGCTTCTTGAATTTTGCTCCCATCATCAATACCCAGTCTTCAGTCCATCTTCTTTCAATTCGCCCAGTCACTCCTTATTATCCTCTTACAGGACACCACACTCTTTTTTTTTCTTAATCTATTCAGCCAAGTCAACCAAAATGCGCTTCTCTCTCCCCGTCTTCGTTGCCCTCGTCGGCGTCGCCGTTGCCGTCCCGACTCTCCCCGTCACCGGCTCCCCCGTCACTGGCCTCCTCGGCAGCAACGACCTCGTCGGTGAGCTGACCGGTGTCGTTGACCAGGTCGAGGCCGGCCTCGGTGTTCAGGATCTCGAAGAGAGACTTGACGCCCTCCTCGGCTCTTCCCTTCTCAAGGTATGTCCCCCCACTCCGCTCATTGGCATGCACAAGAGGAGAAAAGCTGACAGTTGAAAACCTAAAGGTTGAGTCTGCCATCGGCCAGCCCCTCGCACAGAAGCTCCTCGCACTAGTTCAGGGCGGCCTTTCTCCGCAGATCGTCCACGCCGTCGCTCAGGGTATCGCCCTTGTTGAGCAGGGCGTCGCCATCCAGACAGTTGACGCCTACGTCAAGGGTATGACTGATGGTGCCGTCACCTCTCTCGACAAGGCTCTCGGCATGGACAATATTCAAAAAGTCCTACAGATCTGAGCCATGTTTTCTCCTCTGGAGACAGAGGGCACTCAGCTCTAGGCTTCGAGATTCGGCGGGTTCGTTTACGTTGCGAGTGAAGTACTGCCCTGTACGATCAAACGGCATCTGGAAAATGAATATCGAGACAATTGTGTGCTTGTTAAAAACAAATGAGTTTTGGTTGTTTGCTTGCATGCTGCTCAAGCGCATATTGATGTAAACCTTCCGCAATATTTTGGGACTGGGGTTTTGCCATTTCATTTCTGGTTATGTATTATCAGTTACTTAGTTTTGATCCAGTTGAACGAATAGATTTTATTCATCGAGGGTATCATAAGCTCAAGGTTGCACCAGTATTCAGACCTCACATTATTAAGGCAGATTAATTCTTCCCGATCATAACCTTCTGTGGCAGCGCTTGTACGCCTTGTTGGCGCATCGCTATCCGCGTATCGTGCACCTTTCTGTCGATGGTGCGAAAGTCAAACACTCCATCCAACTCGTTGCGCAACGCCATGAGCTTGTCTTGTGCTTTTCGAATCTCATCGGGCTTATTGTCTTGCAGCACATGCGTCCGGACTTGCATGATCCAGCGCCTTTGCATGTCCACAGGCGTAAGCTTGTCCCAAGCTGGCAGCTGCGCGGTTGGGGCGACCACGCCTTGTCCTTCGATGGGGTGTAAGAAATACTGCTTGGTAAGGGAGAATTCGACTTCATCTCTGAAGAATCGATACGTCTCTTCTATCATCTCTCCTTTGAATCTGCGCCGTCTTTGGTAAGCCAGAGCGTATTCTTTCCGACAGACGCGCCATCATACCTGTGCTGGTTTTCTCTTAATAATGAAGGAAGGGCACGCTGGTCCCATAGTTCTACCATCTTGCGCTGCGTCAGAAGCGGCTTTCCGTGAGCAGGATCGGGAAAGTCGGCCCAGCGGAGGATGCCTGGCGTCGCATCCAGCTCCATGGGCTTCGCAGTCTCCCCAAAGTCCCTGTCCTTGAGAACCTCGTAGCGGGCCTGAATGATGAATGATTGACGACTGAGATTTTGGTGCAGCTCTCGCCAGAGCGGTGCGACGTTTTTGCGTATGGGCTTCTCGATTGACGTTTGATTTGAGAGGCCAGCCGGCCTTTGGGGTCCTTGGTAGTAGGTGACGCGCACGATTGATTCCCACGCTTTCATGGAGCACAGCCCCTCGAGAACAGAGCATGCCGACGTGAAATCGGCATCTTCCACGACGCTTGTTAAGAAGACCTCGTACATTGTGATTCAAATTCGCTCAAGCGTCGGCCTAACTTGGCGATACTCCACTCCGGCGATCTGTTGCACACCAGTCGAAGAGAATGCGGTTACTTGTGTGCGAAATTTGAAACCGGTCCGTAATAAGAGATCTCTGTTCGGAACGACGTTGATCATCTGCTTCGCATATGAAAGAGCTGTCACTGGCGTGGGACCCATCCCAAGAGCTTCATCAAAGCCGCACGTGATCTCGCGTCAAAGAGCGACGTGTTTCCACACGCGAAGATTGCGCAATTCAAATGCATATCATGCCTCCAGCGAATTGGCGCCCCCTATTCTACACTACGCGTAAAATATATCTCAGCTCTGGAATTACTCGACGCACAATGGCGTCGAAGCCGGCAACAGTCGAGAAGCGCAAAGCTAGAGCATCCATATCACCACCACCTACGAAGCGTTCTCTCACTAGCGGAACAACCAGTAAGAACCAGTCCAGACGGCGAGAGAATCTGTCTAATGAGTAATCTTTTCAGAGAGTGCTGTATCTAGCTTTTTCACCCCGACGTCACAAAAACCGAAAGATCGAACGTCATGGTCTGAGCGAAAAGACGACCCCAATAAGCCAGCAACACTGCTTGTAGGCAAATATACACCAGAAACAGAGGGCAAAAAAACGGAAAAACGCCGGAAAATCGCGGCGTTTGACTTGGACTCGACCTTGATCGACACGAGCTCGGGAAGAAAGCATGCGAAGGACGCTTCAGACTGGCGGTGGTGGGACGCGCGAGTACCAGGAAAATTAAAGGAGCTCTATGAGGACGACTATCAAATAGCCATTCTATCCAACCAAGGCGGAATCACTCTTCACGTTGATCCAAAGAGTAAAGCGCCCCAAAAGTACACGGCAAAGCGACTGGACGAATTCAAAGAGAAAGGGTCGGCCATATTGCGACACCTCGACTTGCCAGTTACGATCTACGCGGCTACAGGGAAGGACAATTTCAGAAAGCCTCGAAGAGGGATGTGGGATGAAGTTCTCAAGGACATGGGCGTGGAAGCCAAAGATATTGATCTGGAGAAGAGCGTCTTTGTGGGCGATGCAGGAGGTCGCCTAGCTACTGTCTACAATGGTAAAGTAATTGTCAAAGACTTTAGTTGCTCGGATCGGAATCTCGCACACAATGTTGGAGTTCCCTTCAAGACACCAGAGGAATATTTCCTGGAACACGAGCCACGCAAGTGGGAACGCGAATTAGACCTGGTCCACTACCCTCTCGAGAGCGCAGAGGGCCAGACGCCGCTCTTTAAGAAGAAAAACGACAAAGATATTGTCCTCTTTTGTGGCTGGCCCGGGGCTGGGAAGAGCACGTTTTATTGGAAGCATCTGGAGCCGCTGGGCTACGAGCGTGTAAATCAGGACACGCTAAAGACGAGGGAGAAATGCGTGCAAGCAGCAAAGGAATTCCTTGACGAGGGATCATCAGTAGCAGTGGGTGAGTATCTGCACAATGCACTCGCTACCATTTTGACAGCGAGCAAGGTTCTGACCAAAGATGACAGATAATACGAATGCTGACCCAGCAACACGTAAAATCTGGATCGATCTGGCGAGAGCCTTCAAGGTGCCTATCCGCTGTGTATCATTCACAACGCCAGCCGCTGTTTGCCGGCACAATGACGCCGTGCGATCGCTAAACAAGCCGCTGAACCCAGAGAACAGAGAAGTGCTGCCAGATGTGGCTTTCACCGGGTTCCAGAGCCGGTACAAGGCACCACAAGAGAGCGAAGGATTTCAAGACATTACAGAGGTTGAATTTAGGTTTCGGGGCACGGAGGAGGATTACAAAATCTGGGGACGGTACTGGCTGTGAGAAATCTGCCGCGCCATGTGAGCCTCGTTTGGGGGAGAGGCTCATGAAAATGGTGTCATACGGCACATAGGGCAGCCGATGCTGAGCTGAGTCGGTGGGGTGCTTTAAACATTTTGGCGACCCCCAACGAACATGATGCTGGTAGCGTGTGTCAACCCTGTTGGTGTCCAGTGTGGTGATGCTCGTAAGCAGGGCTACGGAGTCAAGTAATAATGACAAGAGGCGCAGGAGCATGACGCCCTTTACATTTAGCCTCTTGGCAAAGTGTGTCTCCTGGACAGTGATTAATGCAGAAACAGCTGTCTGTATGGTAGGGAGAAGCGGAGTTGCTGAAATGGTTCATGTCGTGGTGTGCTGACTTTTTTCCTTGCCCAGGGCCAGCGCATTCAATAAGTTACAGAACCCCGCGTCTCTCATTTTCTCGCATGAGTTCCCCGTCCGCGAAACCGTGGGGCAAATTACGGTAGGGCGTGAGGCGTGGAGAATGTGTGTGGGTGTCTGGTCCCCCCCCCGCTCTATTCCTCAATTTGAGGGTGAGGGTGAGAACTACACGCGCCGCTCTGGTAAAGAGCACAAGAGGTTGGCCACCTGCGTTCTTTTAAAAAAAATTTCCATAGTTGTTGACTTTCATACCTCAGATGACGTATTTTGCCATCAATTCATTTTGATTATTTCCTCAATATTCGTCGGACAATTACCAGCATTTTTCGACCTCTATCCAGTACATACACACACACCCTTTCATCAACGGCTTTCTCTGCGCCCGGCGCCGAGCAAATGGCCCAGCCTGGGGGCTGTGAGGCGTCTCTTGGCTGCTGGGCATTGCCGATGGAGGCTGGCGCCCATCTCTTGGAAAATTTCTAGGCCGAAAACAACACCTATTCCCTGCGCGACTCTGACTTGCTTGCACTCGAGAATAATGAAGAAGTGCACGTAGATTGTCTTTACTCGTTTACCTGTTTTACCCCGCGTTCTGACAATGTTCTCTGCACAGCCGTTATGTTCGGGCAGCGCCGAGACGTAACATTGACAAACGGTCTGCGGAAGAAGAATGGGGGGTGACAACATGGGGTTGGAGTGACGCTGCTCCGGTTTGGATTCTGGTTTGCCCTTTCCCCCAGATAACGCCAAGAAGCGTTGGATGATTTTCTTTTTCTTTTGCATGGATTTTGTTTCGTCTGACGTCCTTTTCTAGTGGTCAACCACCAGAGTTTTCGTCGAAAAGGTCCAAAAGGACCGACCGCGACGCGGGGGTGCCATGGCAAATGGGTAATGATCTGCCCCCCTAAATGCAAAACTGGAGAAACAAGGCGGAACTAGAGAGCGCTTTTTACTGCTGCGAACGTGTGGTTTATGATTTGAGATGGTTGCGCCATTATCCTAATTCACCCGTTGTGGCTGACTGACTGCTGGGTTAGGTAGCGCGGCAAAAATCATCATCAGAGTTGGCCGCGAATGCATGCTCGCTAGCCCAGGGGGTGAGAGCGAGCTTTTCAATAGCCGAGCCCTCTCTTTTTTACTTCCCAGTCAAGGTTGTGAGATAGTTATTATGGCTTTCGGCTTTCGCCAATACTTGTCTACAGCCGGGTTTTTAGTGCGTGGTGGCTGACGCCATTTTCTGCGCAAGTTGGGGTACGTAACTGTAGTCTGGGGAGGAGGGACAAGTTGGCCGTCAACACAGAAATCAAGTATTGTGTTTTACCATGGGTCACGGGTAATTACAAGGCCACCGTACTGCTTGGCATCGGCGCGTCAATGGAGCTAACTGAGTTGCTGCCTGTTATTTAGTATATTTACAGAGCGACTGGATCCCGTCCACTGAGGGCTCGCATAATTATGTACATTACGACTCAGTCGCATATCCCCCTCCGTGGGGAAGCAAGAATATCCCCACACAATTGAGCTCAGCTGGGGCAGGGGGGGGGAAGCTCAACGACGAACCCACTGTGGGCGGCGAGTTGGAGATGAGCGTCTCTGGAGTTTTGCCTTGAGCATGAACAGTTCTGGGTAAAGAGGTCCGAGCTTGCGAGCTTCAAAAGGCGGTTGTAACAAACGACACACCGCTTAGCGCTATATGAGTGCGTATGCTCCCTCTTTCCACTTAGTCCGTACAGAGTATAGAGCTTGCTTTTCTATGACTTGGATATAAGTCAGCTTGGCCAGAAGATGTCGTCGTCGGTTATCCTACAGCAATTATTATGCAGCTACGAGAGGGACCAAAAGTTGTAGGAAAAGAACCGACATTTGCAAGCCGGCCGCCTTGTCTCCCGGCTTTCTGTGCCATTTCTACTGCCTACTTGCAGACTTGCAAAAGAGCGGAAGATGCAGAGAGATGACCCCCATCCACACCTACAGGGGAGAGACGTGGGGATTGTGGCTTTCCCCAACTTTTTTTTTTCCATGGCCCAGGCCTAGTTAACACGAAGTTTTGGAAGTGAGCAAGTTGGGGGAGACGTGGGTTGCGTGGCTGCGTGGTTAGCGAGAATTCCTCCCCCTCCCTCCAGGGTCAGATTCTGCTCCTTCATCCGGCGGCTCATTTAATCTCAAGCTCACGGAGCTACGCCAAGGAGGCTGTCGAACCCATAAAAATACGTGCCATGGCTTTTTCTTTTGGTGTGGCGTGATATGAAAAAAAAAAAAAAGTGTATAAGACGCCGTTGCCCAGCCTTTTCCCGCCCGCCACCACCACCCCCCCCCCACGCCCACAAACGCTCTTTGCAAAAGTCGTGAAGCTGTTGCCCATTATCATCACCACTCTGTAAAACTATCAGAGGCGCGCAGCCAAGCTGAATAGTACGGCACCAAAATCTCCCATCTCAGAGCAGGACACCAACGGCTATAAATCCGGCATCATCATGGCAGGCGGCGTCAAGAAACCCGTCAACATCTTTCGCCTCAAGAACCTTGGCGAGCCCGCTGGCGTCTTCAATTGGCGTCTCTGGTTCGCCGTGGTTTCCTTTGGTCTCCTGGGCGCCGCGCGAGGCATTGACGAGGGTCTCATTTCCGGCGCCTTCAACTCGGATGACTTTCAACAAGCGATTCACATCAAGGATTACACGACTGTCCAAAAGGCCAACATCAAGGCCAATGTTTCCTCCATGGTTCAGCTCGGCTCTGTGGCAGGCGCCATGATGTAAGTATTTTTTTTTCTCCCCCATCCACACTACAGCGCCATATCTCTTTTACGTTGTGGCTGTCTTGGCTTCCCTTTCTCCGACTGGAAAATGTTGAAATTGATGGCGGCTTGATGGCGGACGTGAATCGCCTGGGCAGCATTGGCATCGTCCCATCTCTACCTTGGTGGCTTCCCCCGCCATTTTGCCAAGGACGGCCTACCCGCGTCATCCCACCATCATGCATGCCGCGCCGCTAGGAAGGCGATCATGCTACGCTACATTTCCCCGTCTCAAATGCGACGAAATGCTAATTCGTGTGCCTTTTTTTTTTTGGTTGTTTCCAGTGCCTTTATTGTATGCGACCGAATCGGACGTATCCAAGCCACCCGATTTCTCTGCATGCTCTGGATTCTCGGCATCATCATCTTTATGATTGGCGGTGTCAATGGCAATCTCGGTGCCATTTACGCTGGTCGCTTTATAGCCGGTCTAGGCGTTGGACAGACGCCCGTCGTTGGGTATGTTGCATCAAAATCTCGTGATGCCCTCTCATTCACGACCAGTTGCGTCACTAACACGATGAGAACAGTCCCGTCTACATTGCTGAAATTGCACCGGCGTCCATTCGCGGTCTATGCACTTGCTTCTTCACCGGTGCCGTCTACATTGGAATCGTCCTAGCATACTTTACAAACTTTGGCGCCTCCATCCACATTTCAAACCACAGCCACAACCAGTGGCTGGTGCCTACCAGCCTGCACGTCATCATGGCTGGCTTGATTTTTATCCTCATGTTTTTCCAATATGAATCGCCGCGCTTTCTCGTCAAGCAAGGCAAACCGGACAAGGCTGCACAGGTTCTTGCGTACATTCGCCAGCAAAACCCCGACAGCGACTACGTTGTGCGCGAAACTTCAATGATCCAGGCTGCCCTGGATCATGAGCTCGAGGCTACACGTGGTGTCGGCTTCTTTGGCATGGTCAAGGAAATGTTCCTCGACAAGAGCAACCTCTACCGCGTCTATCTTGCGACCATGGTGCAGCTACTTTCTCAGTGGTCAGGTGCCGGCTCCATCACACTCTATGCGCCAGATCTCTTCAAGCTCATTGGAATCACTGGAAAGCAAGAAGGTCTCCTTGTCACAGCCGTGTTTGGCATCGTCAAGTTGATTGCCGCATTGGCCTGTGCCCTCTTCCTCGTTGATGTCATTGGTCGCAAGCTGTCGCTTCTCCTTGGAATTACCCTACAGTCCATCTCCATGATCTATGTTGCCAGCTTCCTCACCAGCGTCCCTCAACTAGGCGTTGTCAACGGCTTCAAGCTCCCCGAAAAGGATGTCGCCAGCAGTCGCGGTGCCATTGCCATGGTATGTTCCCCACACCCAACCATCACGATGCTACAACACCACACGTCAAGGGAATGTACTGAATATTGACTATTACAGATTTTCATCAGTGGCTTCGGCTGGGCGTTGGGATGGAACTCGATGCAATATCTCTTGACGGCAGAACTGTTTCCTCTTCGTATTCGAGCGCTCGCGACTTCTTGGGCAATGACGTTGCACTTTGCCAACCAGTACGGCAATACCCGAGCTCTCCCCAACATGCTGCTCCCCCTTGACGACGGTGGCATTTCCCCCAAGGGCACTTTCTGGTGCTTTGCGGCCATTACCATCATCGGTGGGCTGTGGGTGCTCGTCTCTGTTCCCGAGACTAGTGGTCGTTCTCTCGAAAGCATGGATCGTCTGTTTGACCTTCCCTGGTACAGAATCGGTCTGTATGGTAATAAAGATGCCGAGCTTCAGGACGAAGCGTACAATGAAAAATCGCAAACTGCCCACGAGATGCACGGGATGGGCCAGCACGTCGAAAAGGCAGGCCAGCATATCGAGGAGAAGCCTCGGACGATTGGCGTTTGATAGGATGCGGTGGTTTTGCTTAGTGATTGTTTCTATACCCAGGATGGTACTTGCTCTTTGTACAATTTGAAGATGTAAACTCTAGACAGTTTGTATGAGATTTCTAATCTTTGCACTGCGCTTGAGATAAGGATTGCGGAATCTGCTCCACCTGTGCACTTTTTTATTAATTTTTTCTGCTCGTAGCATACTCGAAGGATTGGGACGAAAACAATGTTGACAACAAAGCATAAACATCATAGCCAATATTGTATTGTGCATGCTTATGCGAAACCAAGCGGACCCAAGAAAGGGGCCAAATATAGTGCATATGGACTGTAAGCCACCTATCGGGCTCTGTCTTTGCCTCTGTCCTTTCGTCGACTTGGTGACGATGGTGGCTTGTCCAAAGCGCCGCCCTCTACTTGCTCCTCCTCTTCCAAGATGGGCGCCGGCGGAGGAACCACCTTGGGCGCTTGGTACCTGCATCTTCTCGAGCGCTCACCTTTCAGCCCAAGGTACTGAGACAGGAGCATCGCCATTGTTCCGTCGTCCAATGCCTCGAGACTCCCACCCTGTTTCACCCATGCAGAAATCGTGTCAATGGTGACTGGGACAGCTTGCTGCTGCTGCTGCCCTGACGCAAAGGACAGGTTGCTGAGTGCTTCGGTCTGGGCGTCCACATCACTAATGTCTCCCGCATTGGTTACTTGGGACAAGCGCGACGGGGTATACGGCGAGCGACTGTAGCTGACGGACGAGCTCCCGCCGCTGGGGCGGCTCGAGAATTGGGAGCGGCGAGGTGCTTCGCTTTGGCATTTTTTCCTATGCGAATCGTTTCCCATGGCTTGTCGTATTGATCTTGGATTTAGGTATCTTTTGGATTGAGGCAGTAAAAAAAGTCCCGCAAGGCTGCGCCTTGATACTCTATATATATATATATAACGATTTGGTGGCTTGCTTGTGTAACTCGAGGACAACTGGGCTGCAGGAGATTCGACATGCTTCTTGCCACGTATGTTTCACGTAGCGAGCTCAGCAAAATCAATCCATGGAAGCCTTGTTTTGTTAATACACGCAAGATAGGGCGGTACAATTGATTGGACCACAGCCATGACGCACCACAAAACCGCTCGAGGTTGTCGTTGAACATGTATCAGCTGCCCAAGTACGCAAGACACGACGAGTATACTAACTTGTTTTTTTTTTCCAGCGCTAGACTACTGTATAAGCCACTATTTAGACTGCGCTTATCCTCTGCAGTCAAAGCCACTGTGGTCATGCATATTCTCGCAGTGCCACAACTTCAGCTCATCACCGCCCTTTCCCTGCGTTACATGAAAACCCGAGACGGTAAAGTTGTTGCATCCTCCTGCCGAGGCACTGCACTGAAACCAGCCAGCGTGGCTCACATTCTCGGTGCCCCATCCGCTGACAGACCTGGCTGCAAAGTCGTGCATCTGGAACTTGGATGACTGGCAGTCCTTGCCGAGGCCGCCCTCGTAGTTTTCGCACTGCCAGGCGAAAAGAGGGTACTTGCGCACGCCCCGTAGCTTGATATTCTCAAGAACAATGCCAGACATGAAGCCTAAACCGCCGCCGCCGCCGTTGGGGGGATAGCCCTTGGAGTTGCCGCCCCACGTCTTCAGATAGATGGCGTAAGTGGTGTCGAAAAGGGTAATGTTTCTGGCGAGGAAGCTTGTAACATGCTCGTGCTGATCCTTGTACTGTCCGACTGAGCCAATAGCGAGACCCTGGCCGCCGTAGATTTCGGTATCAAAAACCCGAACGTTGCTTGAATTGCCCTTGAGGGCGACTGCATCGTCACCGCTCGTGATGCGCCACCTGCGGAGTGTGATGTCGTCTGAGTAAATTGTGTCAATTCCATCAGTATTCAAAGTGTCCCACTTGCTCGAAGAGGTGTTGTTGACGTAAATGTCAGTAAAATCGAGGTGCTTGGAGTAGGTTACAGCCATTGTCCACATTTGACTCTGCACAAACCGCATGCCGATAATTCTCGAGTTGGTCAATCTTCGCCAGTTGATCATCATGGGGCGTCGTGGAAGATTTCCCTGATTCTTGGCCCAATCGTACCAGACTTGGCCATTGCCGTCAAGAGTGCCGACTCCATGACCATCAAGGGTAACGTTGTCGCCGCCGAAATACCAGACGGTGCTCTGGTTCTGAAAACCCACTGACATAGACACTGATCGCCAATATTCAATGTCCGTGCTCCATAGAAAGCGACCAAAGTGGTGAATATGAACGTCCTTCATATTCATTGTTGTCATGTTACTCTTGATATTGTACACGGGGCCGGGAAAGACTATAATACTGTTCTTTCTGCAGTCATGGTTGAGTGCACGCATGATGGCATGGGCATCGTCACCCCCGTTGCCATTCGGAGGCACATAGCAAAGTTTTCTGCCGTCTGTCTTGCCTTGATCCATCCAGAATGCCTCATCACCGGTCAGCGCAGAAATACGACTAGCCGCATCACCTCCGGCAGCAGCTACCAGTGGGATGAAGCTCGCTAGAATCGTAAGAAATCGCATTGATGTCGTCCCTGGTAAGGGTTTTTGAAATGATTAAATATGCTTTTGCGAGAATCTTGAGGGAAGAAAAGCTAGCCCAGGGAAAGAAATCTCCTTGTAGCTTGAAAGGGAGGCGCCCATCTATGAGATTGGCTGGCGGAGGCTTTACCGTGGCGAAAGTCAAAAATACCGACGTGGCTGACGGCAGCCGTCATTCAAGTAGGCCGCCAGCAGGCCATTTTCAAGGATGCCAAGTCATTGCCATGCAGTGAGGGTCACATGTCTTTATTAGTGCTGGCTGAGAAGCAGCTTCACGTTCCATCGCATGCGGCTGCACAAGGTCAAAGGGATTTGAGGGAAACAGGGCGCAGAATGCACAAGGTACCAAGAAATAATGATACTAGTAGTAAGTATACTATGTTCTCGTTGAAATATCCATGTGACTGCCAGCGCACCAAACTTTTAGGTTATAGCTGTGCCCAGTCGTTCATGGCGTCGCGCGTGTAAGTCGTGGTATAAAGGAGTCGGAATTGTAATGCGTGTCCCCCCCCCTCCCCCCCATTCAAAGCTTCATCCATTTTCGGGTCATACAGTTGTAAAGAACTCTAACAGGCACACCTTTAGAAGTCATCTTACACCATCTCAGCCAGGCATCGCCGAATGTCGCCATGCGACCTCAACAGCTAAAACCCGGCCAAATACGACACAAAGACACTAGCCATATTCTGATGAAGATGCTAAAGAAGTGATGACAGGAAACAAGAGTTATTAGTAGCAATAGATATATATTAACAGTATGTCATCGAAAAAGACCTCAGAATTACGAGGAAAGTGCCATGATTTGCAAGAATTCTTGGACCGTGACTACTTTGTCTAGTATGCTAAGCTCTACTCATTTACTTCTTCAATTGGAGCATCCCCCCCTCTTACACTCATGGGTCTTTCGATACATGCCATTGATCTCCCACCCTGAATCCTGTGGGGAATGGGTCTTCAGGATCGAGAATGATTTGCTTGTAGCTGGTAATCCATGCTCGACCCTGCACAGTCGGCAGAATCGCATCATAATTGCCCACCTTTGTTGTGCCGCGGATGTGGTTGACGAATTCCGTTCCGATAATACTGCGGTGACGAAAGGTTTCGTCAATCTTGAGCTGGCCTTTTGCATGCATCACCGCCATTCGCGCACAAGTTCCGGTTCCACACGGGCTGCGATCGAAGCGACCAGGCGACACCACGACGGCATTTTTAGCCATCTTGCAGCCATCCCCCCCTTCTTCAACCGGCTCTGTAATGGCAATGATGCTGACACCCTTGATGGACGTATTCTCGGGATGAGCTGGTGTAAACTGTGCTTGGACCGCGCGCTTCACACGCTCACCACGCTCCACGAGCAGAGGCCCATTCTCGTTTGTGATTTCCAACCCAATAGCCGAAGCCTCGACCAGAGCATACCACATGCCGCCCCAGGCAACGTCAACCATCACTTGGCCAAGCCCAGGAACATTGACCTTTAGATCCAGAGCGGCCACAAAGGACGGGACGTTGTCAAAAGCGACCGACTTGCACTTGCCACCTTTGCAGTGAGCCGTGACGCCGACGAGACCAGCAGCGGTGTCGAGATTCAGCTTTGTGATTGGCTCCTTCATGGGTAGCATGCCCGTCTCGAGCAGCACTGTAGTAGTACAGATGGTGTTTGAACCGGACATCGGGGCGTACTCGTCACTCTCCATGATCAGGAATCCCGCATCGGCGCGGGGGTCGCATGGCGGCAGGACAAGGTTGGTGTTCATCGAAGAGCGGCCACGGGGCTCATTGAGAAGGAGTCGTCTCAAGTCATCCTTGTTGGTGAGGAAATGCTCGAGCTTCTCGTACATTGTCTTGCCCGGTACATCTAGCACGCCGCCGACAATGACATCTCCAACTTCTCCTTCTGAGTGGCACCCGACAACCGATATTGTCCGCAAAAATCTCATGATCGAAAGGGGGTAATTCAGTCCAAGTATATAATAAGAAGAAGAGCCTAGGGTCGTTGCACGAAATGCCCGTCAGGCAGGAATGGCGGGGTACTACGGTGCATTGTGAAAGGCCAATAATAAGCACTGCGAGATCGGCCAGATAGCCCACTGTTGAGGCCGGCCAGTCGACTCGCACTGGAGCTGTGGTCGAGAATTGAATGACTAATTTGGAATAAAATCACAGAATTACAGATTCAGATTGCATCAGATTTTTCTTCGCCCAACCGTTCAACGTTGACGCTTCTGGCTGCATAGCGCTTTCTACGTTTAGACGGAGCGAAGTCTGTAGTGCATTGTTTGGGCTATGATCATTTGCGTCACAATACGTATATACTTTGAAATACCTGATTACGATTGCCACGGAATGCTTTTGAAGATATCATTCAAGCTAGGCCATGCTTGACGAGCAGCAGACGAGAGCTTGTAACAGAGCAGTCTTGACGAAAAAGAAATTACTCAACCAGACCGGCTTATTAGGCGTGGGTACGCTCAGCAGCTCGAGAGTTTGATCTATTCAAGTCTCTTCCTCAAACCAACTTCCTCTTGTAAGTCTTTTTCAATTTTTCCAAAGTCCAGAATCTCTCGTCCTTTGCGGACATCTTCGACGTTTTGGACTGTTGAATGCACGCCACCATCAAAGAGTGCGTCGATTTCCTCCAAGGTTTTGCCTTTGGTCTCTACCCAGTATACCGCCTAGAAAAGTCAGATCGATGTCTTCAGGAGAGGTTTTGTACTCACTATTAGTGCAAAGACTATAATGTCCCAAGAACCATTGATCATGTACATTTTCCATCCAATTCTATCCAGGCCAATTGGCATGACGAAAACAAGCAGCAGTCTGTAAAGTAGAAAAGAGTCAGCTACATGATATGGATGCAAGGGTTCAAATACTCACGCCAGCCCATTCAACACAAAACTTGAAAGAGCATTTCCATTAGCTCTGGTAGCATAGGGCATGACCTCGGGCGGGTATAGAGTGAGAAGTGGCGTCCAGGCAATGGAGTAGAAGCCTTGGAAAAGAAACATGACGGCAACATTGCCATAAACAAGGCCTTGTGATGCGCCAATCTTGTTGTCGGCGTACATTTTGGACAATCCTCCAATGACAAACAGACATACGATGAGTAAAGATTGTGACAGTAGTGCGGTCGGTTTGCGACCCCAAACATTTGCTAGCTGGGTGCCGAAAAGGCAGGCGAGGAGACAAAAGGAATTGAGTACGACATTCTGCTCCATCAGTCTCTGCATTACATTAAACCGAGGGTGCATCGTTACTCACTGCCTTGAGCTGGTCATTTGAACTGTCAATACCGGCCGTCTTGAGTTCATCGCCTAAATAGTAGCTTGCAATAATGTTGCCGGCAATACAAGAGAATGGCCCTGCGGATCCTCCTATCAACACACGCTTCCGCGCCGTCGGTGTCTTGAAGATTTCCTTGGGGCTCATGGTGCGGCCTTCCTTCTTCTCCCACTCGAGGGTATCGACAATTTGCTTGTATACCGCCATGGCCACTGGGTCTTGTAGGTCACCATTCGCATTCGTCAGCGCAACAACCACTCGCGCATCCTCGTATCGATCTCTGGCAACGAGCCAGCGAGGCGATTCCGGAATCAATGGTAGAAAGAGCAAGCAGATGACTGAGAAAATGGCTTGGAACAAGGAAGGGGCTCTCCATGCCCAGGTTGACTGCCATTTGCTGGTTCCGAGAGTGACGCCCGCGGCGATAAGTGCGCCAATGTAGTAGCAATTGTTGAGGAGCTTGTTCCTCGTCAGCCTCGGATGAATCCCATTCTGTCGCATCCTGAGAAAGGTACTCACACCTAAACCCCATGTCCGCCAGCGACTGGGAAATGTTTCACTCAGGTACACAATTCCTGCGATGCCAGAAACTTGGCTTCCTGCACCTAGAATAATGCGAGCAACGACAAACATGGCAATGTTTTGGGCCGCGCCCTGTAGAATGATACCAATGAGCGTCACCACTGTTCCCCAGAAAATAGCTGGACGGCGCCCCAGGCGATCGGCGATGACTCCCGCAAAAATTGGACCAATGAAGCCGCCAATGAACGTTGACGCTGTATTAAGGCCCTTGGTAGCTGGCGTGAGCTTAAAGTAATCAGTATATGACGGCAAAATATTGAGGCCGTTTAACATTGATCCATCGTAGCCTCCCGTCGTCGACTGGACGATTGAGCATAGCAGCAGGAGCACTGACAAAAGTGCTGTCGACTCGGGAGCCCAAGCGGGCATCCACGTTCCAGTCGGTACAGATCGCAGCATCTCGATAGTTGCTGATGAAAAGTAATTCGTTGAGAGGATTTGCCTACTGGTGGGGGATGGAAAAGCTGCTATACTGTAGCTATAGATAGCTAGCAGGCTCCTTCCCCCGCAACCAGGAAGCGATGTCACGCTGGGGTACACTGCTGAGCGAGACTAACCTACGGATTGGTGTCATCGCATGGGAGAAGCGCCGAAACATCTCCCGACGGATATGCAGCCCAGTCAATCGCTTTAGTGGAAAAGAAGGGGTGTTGCTTGTAAACCCCCACGGAGGCATGGACCTTGTCCCTTGTCAAGCAGCAATCGGATACCGTGTCCGATGTCCGTTTGTAGTACATTGAAGATACATTCTCAAGTCTGGTGAATTTAGTAAGTTTGTCTGTAAAAACCCGCTCGTAGTGGCTAGTTTTGGCCAGAGTCTAACTTTTACCTTTTACTCTATTGTATGACGATAAGCCCAATCCGCCAAAATCTCCCCGCACAGCAACACCCCGCCTCCGCGCTATCGACTTCGGGGACAGCTAAAGTGTCATCTGCACATCTACCACTGGCGCCCGAACCACCACTTCTGCCAAAGCCAAACTATGGTCTATTAAATGGATAATGAACCCTTCAACCGACTGATTGCAACAACTTATCGATGAGTCTGCACTCTACCAGCTAACATCTCCCTCACGCATCACGCTACCCGGCACCACGCACCATGGCTCGCAAGCCGGTTATTGCGGTGGCTGGTCTCGCCTGCGAGACGTCAACTTTTAGCCCGTCCCGAACTCTGGCTCCGGCCTTTCACCCCCAAAGAGGATCAGAGATTGTCCAGCGATATGGCTTTCTTCACAACGATAAGCCCGTGGGCCGGGATGCCGTCTGGAAAGGTGCTCTAATAGGCCACGCTCTACCTGGTGGCATGGTGACGCGCGAGGCCTACGACACCCTGTCAAAGGAAATTGTTCAACGACTGGAGGAAATCGTGAAAGAGCAGCCCATCGATGGTCTATGGTTTGACATCCATGGTGCTATGTGTGTCCAAGACCTCGACGACTCCGAGGCAGATCTTCTTCGCCGTATTCGCAAGGTCATTGGTCCTGATGTTATTGTCTCGGCTTCCATGGACCTACATGGAAATGTCTCTCGCCATCTTGCGCACATGTGCGATTTGATCACTTGCTACCGCATGGCCCCTCATGAAGACACGATGGAAACCAAGGAACGAGCTTGCCGCAATCTCATAACCGCTCTGGGCCCTTGCTCGCCAGGCAGGCGACCGCTCAAGGCTTGGATTCCGATCCCGATTTTGCTACCAGGGGAGCAAACCTCTACGCGTATGGAGCCTGCCAAGCACATATATGCTGCTGTACCCGGTGTCGAGGCGACGGACGGTGTTATAGATGCCGCCATCTGGGTTGGCTACGCTTGGGCTGATGAGCCGCGCAACCGCGCTGTTGTTGTCGTCACAGGCTGGGACAAGCTGGCTGTGTCTCGCGGTGCAGAGAAGCTGGCGAATCTTTTCTGGGATGCACATGCCGACTTTAAGTTTGTGGCGCCGACGGGCTCATTTGCAGAGTGTCTTGATGCCGCAGTCAAGTCTCCTGCCTCGGATCGGCCATTCTTCATTTCTGATTCTGGCGACAACCCAACCGCGGGAGGCTCTGGCGATGTGACATGGGGCTTGACAAAACTCCTCGCCCGTCCAGAGTTTACATCACTTGATTGCGGCTACACTGTCATTTACGCGAGCGTTCCCGGCCCCAAAGCTATCGAGGTTGCTGTTGCTGCAGGTATCGGCGCCAACGTGACTGTCACCGCCGGCGCAGAAGTAGACAATCTACATGCTCCTCCTCTGACAATGACAGGCAGAGTCCACTCAATCAAGCACGGCGACAAAGATGCAGAGACAGAAGTCGTGCTACGCATAGGTTGCGTTCATGCCATCCTGACCAAACTCCGCAAGCCATATCACAAAGAAAAGGACTTTACAGACGTCAAGCTCGACCCGCGATCGGCTGATGTCGTCATTGTCAAGATTGGCTATCTCGAGCCTGAGCTGTACAACATGGCAAAGGGCTGGATGCTGGGGCTCACTCCGGGTGGCGTTGACCAAAATCTTGAGAGACTGGGGCACCACAGGATACGCCGTCCTATGTGGCCTTTTGACAAGACATTCGAAAACGTTCCGGATCTGAGCACTCGATGGATCTCTAGGTCAAATGAGCCACTTTCGGGCGTAGACGAGTGAATGATGACGGGGAAAAAGAAAATTTTCGATGGGAAGAATTTATAAAGAATGTCTATGTATTTTCTAACTAGAAGCAAAAATATCTATTGGTGTCAAGTTCGAGAGTATCACCAACCAGAGCGCCACAAGGTTGACTGCAAAAATCAAGCGAGTAAAGATATTGGCCTACCTGAAACATCTTTTCCGAACCAGAAATACACTCTCAACGTCTTTTAGGGCTTTTCGGCGGCAAGCTCGGCTTTTTAGGACTGGGGCGAAAGCTAGGACCCAGGTGGTCGTCATGATACCTCGGACGGGGACTATCGTGATGACAGCTAGTGTCGGGATGATCGTGATGACAGCAGCTAGCGCCGGGAAAATAAAGGCCAGGAAAAAAACATCCAGCCATATGAGGGTATCCATGGAGGGACATGGCAGAGTGTCCATGGAGAGGAATAAGAGCACCCCCGTGAGGGAGGAAGAAGACGGAATGGAACCTGTGCTCAGCAATGCTGTCGGACCGCTTCTTATGCCTAGCCCTCGGAGCGGCAATACGAGGACGGCTCAGCTTCGGACTAGGGGCTGCATCCGCAGCCTTCTTGTTGCGAGTCAAAACATAGTACTCGATGATGGGCTCCACGGGCTGTCCACGGAGGCTCGTCCTAGGGCCGTTTCCAGGATCCCCCGTCAGAGCCACACGACACGCTCGGCAGTGGCCCCTGGGAAGCTGGTCGCGAACGTAGGCAGCAGACTGGTCGTCCATGCGAATCGTCATGTTGCGGCAGACATCGCCCGGTTGAACCTTGCTGCAGTACTTGCTGGACGTCATCCAGAGGTCGACATTTTGGCAACGGATGCAAAGACCAAGACTGAGAGTGGCTTTGCACATGATGACTTTTCTCGAGAGTGCTGTCGGAAGGGTAGGGTAGGGTATATAGGCGAATCGTGCGCGGGACGACGTGAGAAAGACTTGTTGATCTTGTGCAGACTGACTGGAAGCCGACTCTGATAAATGAGGGAAATTTTCTTACTTTATATTAGCTGTATGCCTGTGCTTTATAGTCCCGGGCAGAATGGAAAAGGAACAGTGAAACGCCGTGTTACAATTTTACGCGCTCTTTGACAACTCTGAACCATTTGCTGTGAATGTGTGATGGTCTGTCCCACGGATGTGCGGAATAAAAAAAAACCAAAAAAGCCATGTACTATATCTAGAAGCCTTTTTATATGAAACGAAAAGGAGCTTTTTATTCTACATGGTGTTGGAATATGAATGTAGTAGTACAAGTAAAAAGAGTTGGAGTCGACAGATGGCGATAAAAGTAATAAGTACTCTGAGTTGGCAATTTTTTTCTCATTCCAGACTCTTCATCGCCTAGCCAGTGCAATCTCCAATCCCAGCGGCTTCCTCAAAAATCCTTCTCTGGTTTCCATCGGCCCCTGTCTAATCTTTGCCGAGTAGCGCCGTACCCACGTCGCGGCAATGAGCTTCATTTCCATTTCCGCCACGTTTCTACCCACGCACGCGCGCGGCCCGTGACTAAACGGGATAAAGGCAGACTTTTGTCTCTGCGTCAGCGTTTCCCATCGTTCAGGGCGGAATTCCTCTGCATCCGGGCCCCAAATGTCCTTGGAGTGGTGCATGGTGTAGGTCGGCACGCTCAAGACGGTGCCCGCCGGGAAATAGTGTCCGCGAATCGTGACGCCGGGAGAGCCGGGCGGAATTTGACGCGGCAGGCCGATGCCCGAGGTGGAATGATGGCGCAGAGTCTCGTTGAGCACACTGTTCAGGTACGGCAAGTCTCGCACCATGTCGTGTGAGGGGACGGGCGTGTCCTCGGGAATGACGGCGTCCAGCTCCGCCTGGAGCTTTGTGAAGACACGCGGGTTGCGGCAGAGGTAGTTGAGCAGCGCGCACGAAGAGTTTGACGTCGTGTCGCTGCCCGCAATCAGCTGCGTCAGCGCCTCTGCGGTGAGCTCTTCGCGGCCGAGCGGCTCGCCCTTGTCGTCTCGCCCTTCTTGAAGACGGGCGAGGAGATCTTTGCGGTCCACGTCGGGCGGGTTCTCGATTCGGCTCTTGACTCTGGCAATGGCGATGCCGGCCAGATTCTGCACCGCCGCCAGTCCGTTGCTGAAGAAGGGATCGGGCAGCCAGCGCGCGTACGGCTTCAGCCGCGGGAAGCAGCCCAGCGTGGCACTGACCTCGCCTCGCCGGTTCAGGATTTCAATGGCGGAAGCGTAGATGGGAGGGCTTGTGGGGGATTCCCGGACTTCTGTCAAGTCAATACCACTCGCCAACATGCCGAATGGAGCTCCAAAGGCAAGATCTCCGATAATGTCGAAAGCGAGGTAGTTGAACCAGGGTAGGCAATCGAGGTGAGCTTCTTTTTTGCCGTTTTCGTCACACTTGTCGCTTTCGTCAATTAATCTGTCAAATTGCTGGACAAAGAGCTCTAGACAGCTTTTGATGTAGGGCTCAAATTGACCGACAGACTTGGGAGAAAAAGTGTGCGATATAAGTTTTCTCTTGCGAGAGTGTTCTGCCCTATCGCGCGTGTTGAACAGACCGCGGCGGATAGATACAAATGCATCATAAAAGTCACTTTTCATGATTGATTTTTTTAGAAAAAGATTATAATGAAGAGCATGAATGAAGGAGTCAACTTACGACTTTAGAAATCCATTGCCGTGGCCATAGATGCTGGCAATTGCCGTCTCGTCGGCCACGCTCACGTGGTTGGGCTGGATCCGAACGAGCGGTCCCAATTTGCGATGCATCTCATCCATGACCTCGTAGCGATTGCCGCGCCGAACAACACTCATCAGCCATAGATTGGAAAATTGCGCTGGCCATGGTGCGGGAATGTCGCTGAGCTCCTTGTACGTAACGGCGTAGCTGTAGAGGTAGGAGGCTATCAAGACGCCTGCAGCAGCTGCCAAGGCCCACCAGGAAAAGACGAGCTCAACCACGGCCATGATGGATGTATCGTGTCACGCTGGAAGAGGTGAACGAGAAACGAAAGCGGTTTCTTGGCTCGGGACAATGACGGAGAGAGAGAGAGAGAGAG